TTTTTTCAGGCTGAGTTTATGGAGCACGATGAGAGACCCCTTCGCATTGATATACGTCTATTGGGTGCCCTTGCAGAAAAGGTGGGATTTTCGTGATAGCAACTACACTCCTTGAGCATTTGTTTATGCTGAAGTATATGATATGAATCTCTCACTATTCTTGTATTTCAGTGTCGTGCATTTGCAAAGGCTCTGCACTCTAAAGAGATGGAATTTGAAGGTGCATGCTCAAATATGATGGATGGCAACCCTGTTGCTGTAGTTGAAGCTCTTATTCATATCAATAATCAATTGCACCAACATGAGGTTGTTCATTACTGCAGTTTAAGTTCTGTATGTTTTTTTTTTTGAATAAAGAACTACGCTCATGATGTCAATGAGGTTTTAACTTTTATCCAGGCGGCAGTTGGAATATTGACATATTCTCAACAACAATTGAGTGTTCAACTGAAGGAATCATGGTACATTAATCCTCGCAACTCTCAACATTTTCTGTTGGTTGTTTAGTTTGAATGATATTGCTTTTTGTTCCAAAATGCCAATGCCATTAAACTTTAGAATTGACAATCTGGTAATCGTGTGTGTTAAGGAAATAACGAGTCAACTCAATATTAATATTTCTGCTCACATTTAGTCACTCAAGTGAACTTGTGTTTGCCAAGGTATTAGAAACTCCAGAGATGGGATGATGCTCTTAAAGCCTACACTGACAAAGCCTCTCAAGTATCAAGCCGACATCTTATTCCGGAAGCAACACTAGGTGCATATTACTGTAAATTATGTGTGGATGTTATTGTGTTTCAAATTGGATAGCTCCTTTTATGGTGTAAGTTACAAATGAAAGGACGATTTATTGCTAGAAGTGCAGCTCATTCTATGTTTCAGATTCATTTACCGAATAATATTTTGATTAACACTGTCATTTGATGAATGGATTATTTTTTCAAAGCAGAAAAACCACACATCCTTTTATCTGAAAAATCAAATACTTCAAATGCATTTGGTTTCTTGGATGGTCAATTCTCTTCTGGCTTTCCTGCCTCTTTTCTCTGTTCTTATGGGGAGTTATTTCAGCTACTTCATTACTCTAGTGTAATATACTTTAAAGTAGATTTTATGCTATTATTATGTCCATTTACAGTAGGACAGTAACTATCTGAGTTCATCTACAGTAACTAACCTGTACTTCTTTATATTCCTGCTTCCATGACTATTAGTATTACATAGATTCTTCTCCTTTGAGAATGGCAATCCGTAGTTTCTCTTCTCTTTCTCTTTCTCTCTCTTTCTTTCTTTTCTATTCATACTCTTTATACACTTTTATGTTGATTTTTTTCTCTCCCTTTTTTATGCACAAGGACAAATGAGATGCCTTGCTGCACTGGCTAGATGGGAAGAGCTCAACAATCTGTGCAAGGAGTATTGGGCACCTGCTGAACCAGCTGCTAGACTGGAAATGGCCCCAATGGATTGTCTTTGGCTTCAAAATGCCTATTTATCTCATTGTGTCACTCTTGTTTGATGTTTCACTTCGCTCTACCTCATGGAGTTCTTGTAGTCTGTAGATTGTCTTGAATACCATTTCAAATTTGTATGGCACAATTTTACACCGAACAACAGATCCCAACGGTTGTTCTAGTATCCATTTTGCTTAAGTAAAAAGTCAATTAATTACATTTGTGATAGATCAAAACCAATTTAACTAGTATCTGTTTTCATGATATTACTCTTATGGCATCTATTCTTGCTCTATTTGTTTAGTAAGTGTGTGATCTGTTAATCCAGGCCGCTAGTGCTGCTTGGAACATTGGTGAATGGGATCAGATGGCAGAGTATGTTTGCCGATTGGATGATGGAGATGAAAACAAGCTTGGAGTTTTGGGTAATACTGCTGTTACAGTGGATGGGAGCAGTATTGGGACCTTCTTTAGGGCTGTCTTATTAGTTCGTAGGGGGAAGGTAAAGGTTTAGCTGTTTATCTCCTAGTTTTTTATTCTTTAACAAGGAGATGCCTAATTGCTTTTCTTCTTTAAAAATATAGTATGATGAGGCACGTGAATATGTTGAAAGAGCAAGCAAATGCTTGTGTACAGAAGTGGCTGCCTTGGTTAGTTTTCTCCATCTATAATTTTATTAAGTAAAAGATGAAGAAGTACTATCCAATGTTGTTTGGAAAGTATTGTCTTACCGTATATCATATTGTTTTTATTGTCTATACTCTATGGCAGCATAATTGGTTCTTATGTGGTTGCCATACTTTTTAATTACCAGGGGTTCATAGTAGCTATATTCCCAAAGCAGAAAAATATACTTCATTAATTATAGGTGGCAAAACTCATGAGATATAGCTGTTGATTTAATGTGGCATGCTTAATATGAGCTGAATGATCACATATATATGCACATATCAAGATTTAGATGGATGTTACACTTAGTATTTATCAGACGTCTGGTGGCTTTGAAATTATATCTGTTTCCCTCTTGCTAGGTTCTTGAAAGCTATGAACGTGCATACAGCAATATGGTCCGCTTTCAGCAGCTATCAGAATTGGAGGAGGTATATGCTCTTGATCCATTTCATCAACTTTCTACCTAAGCTTATTTTTACATTTATTTTTTTGGGTGTTGGATTTAAAATTGTTGAAGCATTATGATACGTATAATAGTTGTCTGATGCCCTTTCCGAGTTAGGTCATTGATTACTGTACACTTCCGGCTGAAATCCCTGTTTCTGAAGGGCTTAGGGCACTCATCCGCAATATGTGGAGAGAACGAATAAGAGGCGCAAAACGAAAAGTTGAGGTGGGACATAAAAGTTGAGGTGGGACATATTGACGTTGGTTTTAGTAATAGAGAACATTTCGGTGGTAACAACGAATCGATAAGCACTTCTATTGTTTCTTCCAGTTGGGAAATTATAGACAGTTACATTTTTTTCACGAAATTATTTTATTTTTTATATTTTATTTTATTTTGTGAATGATGTGGCATTTCAAAGGAGGTCCTTGGAGATGACCCAGGTTAAGTTGAGCAGGCTGTACATGGTGTTGATTATATAGTAGAATGGCGTAGCTGGATTAGTATATTGAAAGATGGAGATATCCAGCTTCATCTTCATGATTTTTCAAGACAAATTTAATCCTTTTATATGGAATTGACCAAAAACTTAGACTTACCTAACCTCCTGCTAGGGGTCAATTAACGGATTTTTTTTTTTTTTTTTTCTGTTTGACAGTTTTAGCCTATTTAATTAGAAAAAAAAAGGAATAATAAGTCAATTTTTCTTTGTTTGTTTGATGAGATAAAGTTGTTAGTGTTGATGGGACCTGAGGTTGGTTTATTGCCACTTTCTGCATTCCCATGCGAATGCTTTTACCTGCAATTACTTAATTTGCAATTGTGCATACATTCGTTACTCTCAACTCCTAAAATTTTCAGGTTTGGCAAGCCCTTTTGTCTGTCAGGTCACAAGTGCTTCCACCTACAGAAGATGTAGAGACATGGATAAAGTTCGCCTCTCTTTGCCGTAAAAGTGGTAGAATCAGCCAAGCTAGATCGACTTTGACTGAACTATTACAGGTATGCTATTCATATCAATTTTTTATGGCTGGTAAAATATTCTTATGCTACCACTTGCCTGTGCTGAATATAGTCTTTTTTGTGTTATAAGCAGTTTGATCCAGAATCAACCCCTGAAACTGAACGATATATTGGGGACCCTCAAGTTATTCTAGCTTATTTGAAATATCAATGGTCACCCGGGGTGGATCATAGACGCAAAGAAGCTTTCGCAAGACTAAAGGTATGCTTTAATTTTTCTGAAGCGTTGAACTTCTCGATACGTTGCTGATTATTGTATTCTGTTTTAACAGTTCATTACATCTGCAATTTGTTTGTTTTAGGAGTTGGCTGTTGACTTCCCAAGAATGTCTGGTTTGAACAATCCATGCAGTCCAGATTAATGGGTACCTCGAGTATTCCTTTCGCTACTCGTGTTTATCTAAAGTTAGGAACTTGGCAGTGGGCACTATCCCTTTGTCTGGATGACGACTCTATACAAGGCAGTCTCTCTCTCTCTCTCTCTATCTCTCTCTCTCTCCCTCTCGCCCTCTCTGTAAACATGGTAGGATGGTCCTCTATTCTTTTTGTGTGGTTTGTTTAACTGTTTTTATTTTTCTTTGTCTCCTTAATGCCAAATAAATGTTAGTATATCTGCATGCTTATGATTTCTTTTTAAAATATTTACAATTTTCCTTTTATTAATATCTTCCCACTTGATCTTACAATATTTTATTTTATGGATATTTTTGTGTTTGATTTTTGTCTTCCCTCAGTGTGTTCATTTTCCTTTGATTTTTTGTGTGGTTTCTTTGTGATAGACTTATCCATGAGGGTGGTGTTGTTCTGGGACTATAGTTCAGTTTAAGTTTAAGGTTCAATCGTTAGATTTTTATGTTGGGTGTCGCTGGGTAGTAACCTAATTTGTTGTTAATGGTTGTTTTTTTCTTGTTGTTATGCTTTTGTCTATACCTAGACAACTTATTATTTTGTTTTGTAATCTCTTCCTAATTTTATGATGTTGTGTTTGTGTATGTTGTGTATGTATAATTGTACAACTTTCATTTTTTGTTCCTGTTAGGCTATTTGTTGATATTTTCTATTATGCACTTTCAACAAATTCTTTAAGACAGAAGTTCTTTATTGCATTTATTTGGATGAATGAATTTGTGAAAAATTATCTTCTTTTGTGCTAGGGGTGTAATTTAATGTAAGAAGGTTATGTTAGTCAATTCATGTGGGTTTGTCGTTTAATTCTGGTTTATGTGATTGGGGTAGAGGTAGACATTCTTGGATATGCTTTTTGTTTTTTAGCTATTATGTGTATAGTGTTTGGCACACCATATAGCATTTCCATGAAACATTATTTAAAGACCCACAACAGGGCCATACCGGCTGTGCGTAGCCCCCTAGTTTAATTTATAGTAAATTGGTCTTATACTGTTATTTTATTTTATTTAATTTATTTTAAAATATTTAATTTCACACTAAGTAAAGTTTAATATATATCACATTATTTATGGATAAATGAAATTAAATTTAGAAGATAATGTAAATTATATTAAATCAAAATTATTAAAATACAAACTTATAATAAATTATATAATATAATATATTAAATAAAATTAAACGAAAACAATAATTAAAATAATAAGTTAAAATAAAATTATAAATAACTATTATAAATTATAATTATATTATAATAATATTTAATGTATATATGTTATATTATTTTTATATATTCTTATTCTTATATTATATTATTTATTTTAATTTAAATTAAGTTATTATTAAACAAATAGAAAATAATTAAAATAAAATGATAAATAAATTTAATTATATTATTATATTATTTAATGTATTTATTTTAGAATTATTTTATATTAAAATCAATTTTTTTATT